TGAGAGTAGGGCAATAGAGAACTGGCTACACCATCACTACATTGTCAGAGGAAGCCCCTATAGTAGAGGTACAACCCAGAGGGAGAGCTGCTGCTTTTACATAAGTGGCCACGTGGCAATGCAGTATCGGCCCCACTGATGTCAGTTCAATTACTCCCAGAAGCAGACCAGAAGGGGTATGTGCTCTAGATTGTTGAAGCATACAAACGTGAATGCTTTGCTCACAGAGCTTTTGCTTGGAAGGAGTGATATTCTCCCTGCCCCTGCCAAATCTGTTTATAAACCATGCATAAATGCCCCACGAGCACTCCCTGTGACTCAGCCCTCTACTTCTACCTTTCATAAACTTTCAAAAACCCACATTTGTAATGATTTTTTCCTTGCCAGGCTAGTCACCAAGTCCTTTAATGGAACTACAGCGTGAGCCTGCTCGAGGCAGGCAAGAGAATTTTCAGTACAAACAACCAGTTTAACATTTTCATTGCATATATTTTGCTTTTCTTAATTCAGTAATTTCATTTCAGAACCATGCAGCTGCATCTCAAACAGCTTTCTTTTCCTTTAGCATTAATAAGGGAGCTTTTTTTGCAAGACATTGGAGCTGCATAAGCCTAAGGAAGGTCATGAAACACAAAAGCAGTCCAATACCATTAATATTGCTATCTGTCACATGTCTTTTTTCAGGCCTTATTCATCAATAAACCTTGCGAGGCAGACAGTCGCTTCCCATATCATCTGAAGCAATGCTGGATCCATCCTATTTGCATTCATTCTAATTAGTGGCCATGATCCTCAGCTGGTGTGAATTGATATACTTCCATTGGCTTCAGTGGAGCTACATTGATTTACACCAGCTGAATATCTGAGCCAGTATGTATATTACTATTCATTGTTCTGTCAGTTTCAATCTGCCTCCTGCAAATCTTCATTCTGATACCTCTACTTAATATCTAGGAAGCAACATGACAACAGACTATCCTGATCTTGCTAGTGAACCAAACTAAAAAAAAACCCATAGAGTTCAATGGGGGAGTTTATAGTGACAATGGAAGGTATGTAAAATGCAAAGAATGAGATAACTTCATCCGTAGCTATCAGAGACTGAGCTTGTCCTCTCAAATCTATGTGTAGGCTCCCTGGGACCAAAGAGTTGCTCTACAGTGTGAATCTGCCACACTGCAGTTTGATCTATTGTCTGTGTCCCACTGTGTATTGTAATTTAAGGCAAATTTGGCTGAGAGTTAGCCATGCAGTTCCCATTGTTGTAAATGGGAATTGATAATAAATTCTCACCCAGCTATGAGCTAATCTTACATGCTGAATACCATTATTGTATAAAATATACTTGGTGTTGTGAAAACTTAGTGAAAAGAGGTAAAAATAGGCACATATTTATTATCTCCTTATGCTGAGAATCTTCAAAAGGAGGAAAAAATAACCTCACTGCTGATTATCTGCCTGCCACCATCTTTAAAAGTTACATCATGCACTTCAGTTGGAGGTAATGTTTCCATCTACTGTCAAGTATGTTCTGCAAGACAGTGTGCTACTGAGGTTGTATGAATATAATAATAATCCAGAGGGTAAGGAGTTTGGATTTTAGATGGTTCGTAAGTACAGAATGTCCATATTGGCAAAAAAAGTCAAAAGTTGAGTAACAATTCTTTTTTTCCAAGATTGAGAAATGTTATTAAAAACTTGCCTGATTTCATTATTTTGTAGATTTGCTATCAGTATACGAGTCTCACCAGGACCTTTTTTAAAAAAAAAAAAACTTTCAAAAATTTCTTCTGTCACCCATGGAAAGTGGGAGCTTTTTTTACCTTCTTTCACAAATCCCAATGCTGCCTTCTGTAAACGTTTAAAATTAGCTCTATTAGTACCTAATTGTGTGTCCCATCTATAAGGTTAAGGCAAGAAAATTGAGAAATGAGAAAATGTATAGATTCCTACATTATACGTATGTTTGAAGTCCTTGAAACCTTGCATGGTACTGACTCTAGAGGCTAAATTAAAAGATTATGGAAATGTGAAATAAACTATCAGTAATGTTTTCTAGATATTTCCATGTGATTCAGAGGGCCTTCCACAAAGAGACAGGAAAGGGAAACCCATCACAAACAAACATGAGTGGAGATGATGGAAAGTTTCATAACACCTTATATCCCTGTCTGTCTATAGCTATCTCATAATCTCAGGTGTTTCTAAAGTATCCAACCCCGTCGTATCTTATCTCCTTTTTGTTGGTAACTTCAGGAGGATTCCTTCACGTGGTAGAGTTGGTCTAGAGCAAGAACCAGGTTCTGGTAAAAATATAGTTACAGTTAAGCATAGAGAGCCTTATCAGAGCTGCCAGCCATGTAATGCTGAAAGATGTTGATGCCCCTTAAATGAAATAGCATGCCATTTTCTCCTGGATGGGAGCTGGAACATTAATGAGATACTAATACTGCTAACTGTGAGTTTGATCCTACAGTTTTTCCTCATGAAGGTAGTCTCATTGAAATTAATGGGACTGCTTATGTATGGACTGCTTCCACGAGTAAGTGTTGCATGACTGGACCCCCATGCAAGTAAATCTCCCTTTTTACATTTTAACACTGTTGTGTTGGAATCCGATCCTGCAATTCCTTATTCTCATGGGTAAAAGTTTGCAGGATCTGGCTCTTAATTTTATTTCCAAAGGGGGATCAGTCATCTTGCCAGTATAATAATGTTCCTAGTTAATTTAGAAGGCAACTCTTGAAAAGATATATAGCTCTTGTCACTTCTAATTCAGAGAATGCCTGGTGAGGAATTCTGAAAACGATACTTGAACACTTGAATGGTTTTTCAAATTAAAAATAATAATGGATTCCTAGCTGGCATCCTACCCCAATTTACTGACAACCTAGACTTTTATTGCATTTTTGTTACTGACCAGAGTTGTAGCTGCATATTAGCCAAAAAACTTTCGTAAACTGGTGACTGGGCCATAGAAATTGAGTTTTTATGCCCAATTTATTTTAGCCTGGAAGATCGCAAATTCTTGAACCACTCTACTGATTTAGCAAAATGTTGCAAATATCATAGGACATTTACAATCTCATCCTCATAATGGTGATGTTGAGTAACTTGCAGGAGAGAGAGTTAAGAAGTTTACAAAGCAGCAAAATATAATAGTCTTAGAGGAACTTTTCAGAATTACCTCCTTGTGTTCCCCACCCCACCCATGACTACTCTTCATCTAGAGAAGCAGATCTCAAGATTTAAAATTAAGAGTGCAATATCTGAAGAGTAAAAAGTACTTGATGTGCCACCTTTGTAATTTGAATCAGAGTCGTTATAATGGATTCTTAATCTGATAAACCAACCTCTATATATACACCTCAGATACTTACTTGGCACCCATCACTGTAGTTAACTGAGCTTCTCATTCTTTAAATATCTTTATTCTCACAACGTCTCAGAAAGATGGGGAAGTCCCCATTTTACAGAGGGGAACTGAGGCACACAGAGGCTAAGTGACTTGCTAAAGACACACAGGAAGGATGTAGCAGAGCAGGCAATTGAAACTGGGTCTCCCAAGTCCTGAAGTAGCACCCTAACCACTGGGCCATCTACTTCTGTGTGGAAATCACTGATTTAGATTGCTACCAGACAAGTTAGACCATCCTTCAGCACAAGAGATAGGAGCTTTTGCTTTTGGAGCAGGAAAATCCACCTTTCAACCCTTCTGCCACCATGAAGTTCTGATGTGCAATGTACAAGTTCTGGGTAGCTGGGGGTTCTCTTACAATATGTTAAAAGGTGAAGGTGGCTTCATCTTAGCTTTCAAAAACAGAGAGTTATGAATTTCAGAAGCAGTATGTTACCAATCATATGTAGTTAACACATTTTAAATGCTGTGAATATTCAGAACTCCTGTGCCCTTTCACCTATATCTTAATGCCTATACAAGATAAAACAGTTGCAAATGGACAGGTAAAGAGTTGAAATAGGCTACTGAGAAGAATACAAGGCATGAAGTCTTGCTATCTCTCTCTCTCATCAAAATTAGAGATGAGTTAATAATTTACTTTTTTGGTTCAGTGAATGAACTGAAAAATCTGGGGAGGAAATTGGTTTGTTTTGACCCAAAACTGATTTTTGTTTTTTTTTTTTTTTTCCCTGCTCACCCAAATGAATAACCAAAAATATTTTGTTTGGGTTGAACAAAATGTTTCAAACTTTGTTCCAAACTGCCATTTCCTAAATGAAATTGCATTTCTAAAATGTCATTTCCAAACAAAAATGTTTTAATGGTTTATTTTGAAAATGTCAAAATGAAGCTTTTCAACATTTCTGAAAAAAATGTTCACCGCAAACATTGGCCAAATTTGACCCAAATTCAGAAATAGTTTTTGTTCCCCAATACTTACTAATTGCTTAATATACTTATCATTACACCAGCCGTACTATTTACTGAAAAAGATTTGCCCAGTTCTATGCAAATATGTAGGAATTTAGGAGATAATGACATTTCCGTAGGGACTTAAAATGGATGCTTTGCCCTCACTTTTTTAAATACAACATGGTGCTGGTGAAGAGAGAAGGGGTGAATCAGATTTTCCAGTTGTCCTCTCTAACACAGTAAATCACCTAATATGTAAATACTTGAACTTTAATGCCTGGCTTTCAGAGTAAAATAGCACTTCTTAGATTCTAGTGGATTGTCACTTCTAGAAACGGGGGGAAAAATCTGTTTGAGTTTTTTCTCATAATGGTAGGAGAACTGGTAGCATTTTTGTCTTCTGAAAGGCACGTATCATATTTCACATTTCTGATGGAAGCTCTACTTGAATCTAAATACTGACCAAGATTTCCCTTAATCTGAGGCTGACCTAGAATTTGATTCTTCGCTTTGAATTTTCAGGATGTGCTTTCTGAACCCTGATTTTCTGACCAACACTCTTTCATATGCAAAATATATGCCACTATTAACACATTTAGATGAAGGAAAACCTTGTAGGTTGAATTACCTTAAATTCAGTTTCAATGTTGGCTAGTCTTGCCAATTCATTGCTTAGTTCTAAAGCAGTAAGAACGGGGTCTTCACTGGAAAGAGACAAATAAGCGGCACTTGCTAATCCTTTGTAGGCATTCATTCTCGATCGAGAGTGACTGAAGGAATCTTTCCTCTGCTTCTCGGCACATTCATTGCACTTGCAGAAGTAGTCATGGGGCCTTTCTATCCGTGCCCCTTTCAGAAGCAAGATATGAACAATTTCATACTCTTGGCAATGAGCAGCGAGTATTATGGGGGTGATGTCATGAGAAAACCGAGTTCCATCTTCATCATAAGCATAAAAATCATCATCACGTAGTTCCTGCTCAAGGGGGCTTAGTGTGAGACGCTGCCCTTGTGCAAAGGCTGGATGGTTCAATATTGCTTCCACAATGCGCACATATCCCTTACTGATGGCCAACAGCAGTGCATCTCCAACTCGAGCCAGATTCTCCTTTTTCAGAAGGAGTTCAGTCACTTCCAAATGCTCATTCCCCACCGCTAACTGCAAGGCATTCTGTCCCATGTAATCAACACAATTAAAGTTCAGGGTTTTGGACTCTTCCAGCATTTTCCGCACCACGGGGATGTTGCCATATTCCGCAGAATCCAGGAAGCGTTCTTCCTCCGCGGTCAGGCTGGTGCCCTTCTCGTTAAACATGTAGGCTGGGCCTCGGATAGCCTGTCTCCGACCTTTCTCCCGAAGGGTTGTGTGTCTTCGATGCATGTTTTTAGAGTTGCTGTTTCCCAACCTGCACAAAGACAGGAAGGAAGCTTGATTATCCTCTCAGCCATTTTTAACCTGAGGTAACCTGAAAATAATGTTGAAAATGTTCCGTTGTTATAAGACCTTGTATTTAACATGGTTTAAAATGGTTTAGGATACATGCCGGATAATGCAAATTACTTTACTGAATAAGTGCCAAAAAATTAGGCTCCTAAGTCACCTAGACTCTTTTGAAAATTTTATACCCAAGACATAACAAGTAGCTGAAACCAAAAAACAAGTGGTGATGCTTTGTTGGCAACACACTATTCATCCTTCATGCCAGTCAGTGATCTAGGGCTGAATATTGCCCACCCAGCACGTGGATCCACTGCAATTGTTTGTTTGGTGTGGAGGAGTTTCACATAAGGAAAAAAAGAAGAAAGATTTTCATGGCAGGAAATTTGTTGGGTTGATTTGTCATTTTTAAATGGTACTGTTGGAAGCAGGGCAGAGGTTTGGAATGCTAGAAGCAGTATTAGCAGGAGCTGGCCCATTATCTAGTCTCCTGTTTTTAAAAAAAAAAAAACTATGGCCTATATAGTCTTTTAATTATTATTGTCCTGCGGGCTTTTTTGTTTCATTGTTTGTTTGTTTGTATTTTAGAAAAAGTATCAGTCCTGATGTTATTTCCCAATCCACAAATGAGAACAATTAGTTATTCTATTGGTAGAAAGAAAGCAAGAACATAAGAATGGCCATATGGGTCAGAGCACTGGTCCATCTAGCCCATTATCCTGTCTTCCAACCGTGGCCAGTGCCAGTTGCTTCAGAGGGAGTGAACAGAACAGGGCACTTTAATAAGTGTCATCCAGACCCAGCTTCTAGTAGTCAGAGATTTAGGGACACCCAGAGCATAGGGTTGTGTCCCTGACCATCTTGACTAATAGCTATTGATGGATCTATCCTTCATAAACTTATCTAACTGCTGCTCTATAGTCTTTCTTGTCCTCTTTTTTTCACCCCAGACACTGGCAAAGCGAATCTAAGGCTATATACCAAGGGCCCAGTTCTTTGAGTTTTGCCTGAGAAAGAAGGTTAGGGTTTGGTCAAGAATTATTTACATACGTATAATATATAAGTAAGTAACTCTCCAAAATGATGAACAATAACATTGCTTTTTCTCACTGTCTCTAATTAAAAGTAGACACCGGTTTTCCACTCCATTCTAACATCAACAGTAAGAATGGTCGGTGCAGAAGCAGAATACTATTCAAATAAAACTTCCCACCAAACATAACTAATATAAAAAATTAAGCACCTTAAAATACTGTAGAGAAGGATTAGCAGAACAAATGACATTTATGGTGAAGGCACTCTAACTCATGGAAGCCTTCACCTCTGATGAGTTATGGCCCCAATCTTATTCACGAACACTGAAGATTAGTATTTCAGCTTCCTTGCTTTATCATTTTTCTACATATAGTGGGACAAATAGAAAATTATTCCCTTATCTTTGAATACTTTCATAAGAAAAACTCAGCTATCACTTCACATTTTAAAAGTTAGTTACAATGATGTTTGACCTAAGCTCTGAATTATGATGGAATAGTGACAATGCAAAGAGATATATATATGTTCTAACAGAAGATCTTGGAAACTCAGCCATACCCATGTCACATGATTCTGCGTGATGCCTTGTTCTGCACCAGTTGTACAGACAATTTTCAAACTAATCATACATACTGAGCTTGTGTAATGTGTTCTCTTGAAAAAGTGTAATTGTAACTTGATTGCAGGTATCTTAACATTTTTGTTTGAAGGTGCTCTGCATTTAAATGACTGTATTTGCATATGTTATTGAGACAGCTAGTGATCAAACTCAGAGATTGCAATTAAAATTTTGTGTTTTTCTAGGAATGCATGCTTTGACATTCCATGTCCTTGGAAAGAAATCTTCTGTGGAAAGGCAAAACCTTGGGCCAAATCCTGACTCCAGGGGGACTTCTGCCTGAGTACGGGCCTGCTGCTGCAAGATGTTGACCACCCACAACATCTCTGGAAGTCCTTAGGAGTTGAGAGCCCTTGGCACTTTGGAGGAGGTACACAGCACTTTGTGGGATTTGTCCCTAAAGCACTACGGGGTTTCACTCTATATGTTGACATAGGGATGCTTGCTTAGGCTAAAGTCCTCTACCCAGCAGTTGGACTGGGTTAGCTGGGCTGGGTGCTGGGAGTAAGGGGCTAAGAAGAATTCTCTCCCACAAAGCACTTGTGGTTCCTAACGTTGTAGCCTACTCCAGCCAGTGTCCTGCCTGTCACCCACTTCCTTTCTGCCACTACACATGGGGTTTGTACAGAGCTCATGCCCATGCCATTCTGTACCCTCTGTGTGGGCACACACATTCAGCTCCCACATTGCTGCACTGTGAGAATACACCTGCAAAGATAGAAGTGGCATTTGGAATTTAGATTTAGAGCAAAATTTTCAGATGGACCTAAGGATCCTAAGTCCCATTTTCAAAAATGACTTAGGGGCCAATTTTTAGAGCTATTTGGTTGGGTAAAGATGCCAAAGAAACTAATAGGATTTTCAAAAGATCCTTGGCACCTACCTCCCATTATCTTTCAATAAGACAAGATCCTACAGCCCAGATCCTCAAAGGTATTCATGCTCCTAACTCCAAATATCAGTGGGAATTAGGCACCTAAATATCTTTAAAGATCTGTGACTAAGTGCCCAAATAATTTTTGAAAATGGAATTTAGGCATCTAAGTTTCTTGGGTGACATTTTCAAAAGCACCTTTTATGCTCTAAAGCCTCATCCTGTAATCCTTGTTTAGGCAAAAATGAAATTCAAGATGGGGATGTAATGGGAGTGAAGAACTGCAGGATCAGCCCCTAACTTGCTACTTCTCTTTTCCTGCAATGATTTCAGCTATTTTCAGAGGGATTCAGGAAAGATAGGCACTAAAATAGCATTAAAACTCTGTTTGGCCTGTTTAAAATGTTCACTCTCTGTCTCAATCAAAAATGTCACTATTCAAAACATTGCAACTATGAACAAAAATGAAGGAAATGAGACTCTACAGACGTGAATCAATAAAGAAATGACTGCAATGAAAAGAAGACAGAAAAAAAAGCTCTTCGCCAAAATATTTGTCTGCAGAATTTCGTATGTTTCATTTATTTAAAAGAAAAGGAAAAAAGGGGGACAACATTTTTTAGCAGAATCACGGCTTAAAGGCACAGTATGAGAAAGCGTGAGGGGATAAATTATACATTTATGGAAGCACAGACTGAATTTTAAGTATACAAGTGCTCCATCTTGTCTGCTAATGCTTCAGAGACTTCTCCAGTATTCCAACTTCCAACCTGCCCCATATTATTTGCTTTCTTATATCAGGTTTATCTCCATTAACAAAACACTTTTTAAAAATATTTCACCATCATCCCAGAGAGGAAACATTAATCGAGTAGAAAGTTGACTAAGATAAAAGTTTCACTGGAGTCCATTTTCAGTTGCTTCCTATTTGCTGAATATACAGCTTAAGTATTATTTGGGATATTAGTTTTAATAAATAGCAACTTTTCCAGCATTAACCAGCAAAGCAGCATGCCAGGGAAGTAGCAAGAAGTATTCCCTCCTATGGTATGAATAAGATAAAAGGTCATTCAAGTTCAAACTTTGAAATAGGCTGCCTCCCTTTTGTGGGTGTGCTGAGCAGAAACTAAATCGGCACCTGCGACTATATTTCAAGCACAACTCTGAATGCTCATACCTCTAATTACTGGATCGTAGGTACAATCCAGGTGACTAGACATGCTTCTACTGAGGTTGGCAACTGACTTCACTGAGCTGGTTGCAAAAATTCCAGCACTGGTTTTGCAGATACAAACTGCATGGGTAAAAAATGAAGTCAGCCTTCATCCCTTTGGAAAATGTACCCATGAGGGTGAAGTACCTTCATCCACATCGACAAGGCCATTCATGTAAGACCTATGATACAGCTGCTGCTGGTGGCAAGGGGGTAAAGATGGGGAGCAAACATAGTACATGACCCATGGCCCTTGAGCGGGGTGAAGGGATGTTTGACACCAGGCTCAAATAGTCCAGCCTAGTGGTGCTGGGAAGCCAGGGGAGGGACTCTTAGATCCAGAAGCCTAGACCTTAATGAATAAGGATCACCCCTAAATGGTTGCTGGAAAAATAGCCAAGAAAAGGGTATATGGCATCCCTGCAGCCTGCCCATTGGTTTTAGCAGAGAAGCAGATTCTGTCATCCATTACCCCTTACAAAAAACGAACTACCCTGGGTTTCTTATGGAATGCTGGGGTGAAGTTCACCCTGAAGGCAATTGGTTGATGTATGTTTGCATCACTGTTGCATTTCAGAGGACCAAATTATTGCTAGGGTGCAAGTCTGCACAGCATCCGGACTTAGTATTTGCCAGATATGTTGGCAGGAGTGCATATACTGTACTGAATGCCACATTGTGTAGCCTTTATGCATTGGCATCAATGGCCAAGATATTTTAAATCGACTAGTGATTTGGGGTGAAAATCAGGCCCCTTGAAAGAAATATCAAGAAGGGCACCCAATCACCCACACATCCAAAATCATTTTTTTTTAAATTCACTTTTTTAAAATCTTGGGCTATAGGATTTTACCAAAATCAGAACCCCAAGATTTTGCCCAATTATTATTATTATTATTTAAATCTACAGAAATCTTTTGCTGTCGTTTTGTTTTGTTTCTTTCTTTGTTTCAATTAATATAGCTAAACCTCAAACATTTATAACCCAATCCTACCCAAAGCTATACACATTACTTTTAGAGTAAAAGATAATTAAAAATAATAGAACTGATCCCTGCATTCATTTCTTTTTCTCTTGCTTTGATCCTTATATCTACTACTCTGTTTTTTACATTCAGAACTCTAAGGATGACTAAAGGAAATACATATTGAAATGATTCCTAAAATATGTGATGGATATTTGTACCAATAAGCTGTTTGGAACCTATGTTACTCTTATATTGTCTATCTTTTGACAGGCTCATGTGAAAGTTTTCTGTATTGTAAAGTACAGATCATCAGACCCTCTCTATTCTCTGTTTAGTATCAGTTAAACAATGTGTTTGCGGAACATGTGTTTTGAACGTTGAGTAAAATAATAGTTCTCAAAATTAATGGTTGTGTAACCCTAATCCTGGTCCCGGAACATAATTTTCTGAGTATAATTTATCCTGTCTGTAGAAGAACACTCAGAATTAGCTTTAGCTCATAACCATAATATGCCATGTGAACAATATACATGTTCATTCACAAATTTTGCTATTTTTTATTATTTATTATTATTTTTATTTTTATAATTTTTCTTTCTTTCCCCAGCAGGCGGCAGCATAACTCTGGATTACACCAAGCAGCAATTCCACTCTACCTGCTTCCAGAACCGAGTTTCTAGCTCTCTGCAAACAAATCCTTGATTCTTGGTTCGCGGATTGAGCCTACTTTAATTGGCAACGTTACTTAACAGTGATTTACAATCTCGAAAAAAAGGACAGCGAACCCCATCTTTAGACCCACCAGCTCCAACAGGGCTACTCTCAATTAAGCACACCTGGCATTGTGTGTATGTCTCCCCCTTTTCCATAGCATACATAGTCTTTCTAACAAGAAAAGGAGGACTTGTGGCACCTTAGAGACTAACCAATTTATTTGAGCATAAGCTTTGGTGAGCTACAGCTCACTTCATCGGATGCATACTGTGGAGAATACAGAAGATGTTACTCTGAAATTCTTTCTAACGTGTCAACGGCATGCAGCTCAACCCAGAGCCATGGGAGCAGACCTAAAACACGCTGTTCATGGTAAACCCAGCGCTGACGGACTATTTAAAATGGATTTGCAACAATGATCAATATATAATTAAATTGACACCCAAACATTTAACATTGCCCCCCCCCCCAAAAAAAAAACAACAAAACCCCAACAGATTTATATAAAGGGCTTCCTTGCAGAGTTTCAATAAACAACAACAAAACCCCACTTCGCTGGGCGTAACTGGGAGCTCGGGATTTGGGCCAGAGCTAATAATCTGAGGAGGCAAGTTTAGTTTCACCTACTTAAAAAACACACCATCCGCCGCGGATCCCCTACACAGCAGAGAATCAGTAGCTTATTTGCAGCGCAAGGGGCTCGGGTCCGTTGCCCTCTAGACGTTTGCAGTCCCAGGCTGAGCGGCAGGCGCAGGAGGCCGCATGGTCGCCGGTCCGGCCGGTGAAGCGCTGTCTATGGTGCTGAAATCGGGACCAGAGCTGGGAGCCGCTGGCTAGTTAGTGGCAGGAGCGGCGGGGCGGGGAGCCGGCTGGCTCCGCGGCTCTGTCCCCGGTGCTGCAAGAGTCAGCTGAGCTTCCGAGACAGAGCCCCATCCCTGTCGCTGGGCGGTGGGAAATTTCCCAGGGACCATTAGGGATGCATTTACTGGAGGAAGATCCCGGGGCCAGACTGGCTCAGGATCCCAGAGACAGGCGGCAGGAGAGCCCCCCGGTCAAGCCCTGGCGATCTCCTGCACGCTTTTCCATCCAGGCTTCCCTCCCCACGCCTGGAGCCTTCGCGGCAAGTTTTCTAGCCCACCTGAGCCCAGCGGGCTAATTCAAGCGGGTGGGGGCCAGGCGGAGAGAGGCTCTGTCCGTCTCCCGAATCTACCGCCCGACTGTCGCCAAAAGCTCCCTCCCCGGCTTGGTCCCACCAGGGAAGCATCTGCTACAACTTCAGTCTCGCCTCGTGAACCTCCCCCTGCCTGGAACGCTCCAGATCAAGGTCCCCTAAAGTGACCCGGGACTGCCCGCTCCGCTTCCAGAGTCCCAGGCTCTTCTCATTTTCCCGGCGTCTCATTCACAAGGCATCGCCACAAAGGAAACCGTCCCCGGCGCTCCGAGCCCGCGATCTTGCCCCTGTCCTCTGCCCTGGCCCCTTTCAACGCCCTCGAAGCCCGCTCCTTGTTATTGGGGAAACTGAGTTGGTCCAAAAGAAACCGACATCCTTTTACAAGTGATTCTGCATTCACAGACCCGGGATTAAAGGCTTCCTGGAGATGACATGCAGAATGCAGTCGCTGCTCTATCGCCGTGACGAGTTCGGTCATGCAGCGGTGCGAGTCTCAGAGAAATAAGATCAGGGTCTCTCCCAAGCCCGTCAGTGCCCTACAAGGAGGACATGAGCCACCACATCCTCCTCTCCCTCCCACCCCCTCCTCCAATGTTCGGAAAGATTTAATTGGTTAACAAGAGGTTTTCGCCAGCTTTTCTCCTGGAGTTGATCTGTTTAGAATTGGGAATAGATTTGCTAACTAAGCACCTGGGAGAAATCCGGTCAATCCTGTTTCCAGAGACCAGTGTAAATGTAGGGAGGCTGGGCGGCGTTGGGATATTTACTGAGCCATAGGGAGCGGCGCCCGAGCAAGAGGGGATCTGCAAAATATTTATGGCAGGTCTACCCTGTTCCCTATCAGGCCACCAACCAGGCAGTGTGCAGAGCCAGAGCATCTGTACCAGCTTTTCCCCAGGTCTTGAGCCTTAGGGAGAAGGTTGTATTGCCAGGTGGTGCTAAATGGTGGGGGGAGGCGTATAAAAGAATGTCTGACCTTTCAGGGGGAGACACTACACACCGCCGATGGGACTAGTCTGCGGAAAAGGACCTAGGGGTGACAGTGGACGAGAAGCTGGATATGAGTCAGCAGTGTGCCCTTGTTGCCAAGAAGGCCAATGGCATTTTGGGATGTATAAGTAGGGGCATAGCGAGCAGATCGAGGGACGTGATCGTTCCCCTCTATTCGACATTGGTGAGGCCTCATCTGGAGTACTGTGTCCAGTTTTGGGCCCCACACTTCAAGAATGATGTGGATAAATTGGAGAGAGTCCAGCGAAGGGCAACAAAAATGATTAGGGGTCTGGAACACATGACTTATGAGGAGAGGCTGAGGGAGCTGGGATTGTTTAGCCTGCAGAAGAGAAGAATGAGGGGGGATTTGATAGCTACTTTCAACTACCTGAAAGGGGGTTCCAAAGAGGATGGCTCTAGACTGTTCTCAGTGGTATCAGATGACAGAACGAGGAGTAATGGTCTCAAGCTGCAGTGGGGGAGGTTTAGATTGGATATTAGGAAAAACTTTTTCACTAAGAGGGTGGTGAAACACTGGAATGCGTTACCTAGGGAGGTGGTAGAATCTCCTTCCTTAGAGGTTTTTAAGGTCAGGCTTGACAAAGCCCTGGCTGGGATGATTTAACTGGGAATTGGTCCTGCTTCGAGCAGGGGGGGTTGGACTAGATGACCTTCTGGGGTCCCTTCCAACCCTTATATTCTATGATTCTATGATTCTAGTCTAAAACTTCCCTGAAGATCTGCCCATTGCTAAGCGCACAAGGTCACATACAACTCTCTGTCCAGGGGATATTTCGTATGTCATAGTTACAAGGGCACTGACTCCATATAATTACGCAGGTTACTTTAAATATAGACCCAACATTGCATTTGAAATCACATTTATAGGAATTATTCGACCAGGGATATACTCTCCTCTCAGACCTAGACATGTTTAAGAGACAGACAGCAGTCATTCACTTTAGACCCACTTTTTCTACTGGGAAAAAAGGTCAGATCTCCAGCGCCTTATGTCCTTTGATTTTTTCACCCAAAACAATTACTTTAATGTTATGCCATCCAGTAGCTGGCTTTCATCTTCACGAACCAACAGACGAAACAATTCGTATATAAAATCTTCACAGATGAAGAACAGCCTGCATGAAAACTATAACAATTACCAACACCAAAACACCAGGTAGAAATACTCTTCAAGGTGATAGATAGTTCAACCGATTCATAATTTTTCAAATCTGCTGGATGGGAAAATGACTCCAACCTAAAGCCAGCCATTTTTATTTGCTTATCAGTAGCAAATATTACCAGATCTTCAGAAGAATACTCAACCTAGAATGAACGAGTGATTTCACCATTTAGAGCCATTTTTTCTCCTAATCTACTGCATGAAAAATGAAGACGTGGTGACAATGTATTGTGACGGGGCAAGGCCAGATGGCTATAGAAAAGTAATAGGAGATAGATATATTAGCTCCAGGCTAAACAAATCCCTGGTACCAGGTTAAGTGAAATGGAAGCTGCTCCAGGTCAGTTAAGACACCTGGGGCCAACTAAGAACTTTCCAGAAGGCAGGGAGAAGGCTAGGTTGATTGGGACACCTGAAGCCAATCAAGGGCTGGCTGAAACTAGTTAAAAGCCTCTCAGTTAGTCAGGTGGGTGTGTGTGTCAGGAGCTGTGGGAGGAAGTTGTGCTGGTGGAGAGGCTGAGTAGTGCACACTGTATCAGGCACAAGGAAGGAGGCCCTGAGGTAAGGGTGAAGTGGAGCTTGAGGAAGTGAGGGCTGCTGTGGGGGAAGTAGCCCAGGGAATTGTACATGTTATGTTTCTAAAGGGTCAGCTACCATAGCTGATACTATTAAGGTCCCTGGGCTGAAGCCCAGAGAAGAGGGTGGGCCTGGGCTCCCCCCCACCTTTGCCCCCTGATTAATCACTGAGACTGGGAGACAACAGAGACTGTGCAAGGAAGGATAACTTCTCCTCACCTCCCTTGCTGGCTTATGATGAAAATGGCTCAGACTGTGACCCTTGTCTCTAGAGAAAGAAGGGTTATGTGGAGGGTCACAGTGAGCCTCTGAGGCTAGCGAAAGCCACCAGGAAAAGTGGGACCCATGAAGGCAAGGACAGAGCTTTGTTACAGTATTTAATTCAGTAGGCATGATTCACACTCCTGAGCCTTCCCAGTTATAATGTAAATAGGAAGTTCTCTGTCCACATGTATTTTACCCACTTCTTTTATCTAGGTAAAAAATTAAAGATCAAACAGTATCTAGCACTCAGAGATAGCACATGGATCTTTCTGGAAAATTTGTATCCAGAAATTAAAAAACAGATTATGCCTCTCTGTAAATGTAGTTTCCATCTGAAGCCAATAAAATATTGACAATGTTATCAATTGAACTTAATTATTCCAGATCCCCCTATGTAAAAGGATACAATAGAATGGGAAAATTGCTTGTGAAAGACATGAGAAAGAGTTGGAGAAATCTGTGGTCTACAGCATATATATCAGTGGAGTGAGAAATATTTCATATGATTATTGAGGGTCACCACTGCTGGCTTGTAACATCTCCCAATGTTGGTGGAATGCGGCAAGCTGGAAAGCCAATACGTGGCATGTCTTGCACTTCCCAAGCATGCCATCTACCACAAAATTCTGCAACTTCTGAATTTTGCAATTAGTATTGAGATGTATTTTGTTATTGTAATAATTACACTTACATGAGAATTGAGGCAACTATATTGTTGTTTTCACTATTTAAAAATACTCTAGGCTCTTTTGACTTAAGCCTTATTGATCTCAGAGTTAAATGAAGGCTTGTCTCTTTCATATTTCACATGATCTGAATGCACAACATTGGAATAGTTATTATTGCGGGTATGTGAATGGGTGCAGAGTCAAAAGACCTCCTATTGCTGCTATTACAACTGTTGTGTTATTTGTGTTGGTTGAATGCTGAAAATGTGCTCAGCATTGCACACAACTTAGACTAAAACTTGTTGCCTCCTTTCCTTCCCCCCACCCCAAAAAAAAAAACCCTTACTCTCTAAGGGCATGTCTACCCAGAAACACTCAAAGTTAAATCCAAGATAGCACATATTAGCGCCACCCCATGTGGATGCTTTCATTCAAGAGTAAAGTGATCTTAGTTCATTGTAACTTAATCCCCTTCCAATAAGAAACCTAGAAAACAAGCAAACTTTAGAAGCTGCAGAATTTTGTTGTAAGAAACTTGCCTCTCTCAAAGAGTTTCTTACAACAAAATTCTGAAAATTAAGCCAAGAGTCCCAAGGGTTTCCATCAATATGAGCAAAGAGTCTAACAATCTCTTCATTGCAGCCACCCCTTGCCTAGAGATTTATTTAAAGTTACTTGTGACCTTGACTCAACCCTTACTTCAAATACACCTAGAATTAAACATCAACATTTCAAATAACTGAAACATCAAAAGCAGCTGTACTAGCATCAATCCAAGAAAGGTAACTAATCATATACCCAACTGCTCTAACCACACTATTATAGACAACTAAGTGGAAGCATGTAGTCCTTCTATAGAGCTTCATAATTCTTTAAATGTTCAAAACCACACGTTAACAAGTACAGAGGGAAATTACAGTAAATACTTTTAATTGTTCCTCTTATGGGCCCATTTTGAACCAGATATGAAAGACAATATATTACCTTACCAGTTCTATGAATTAACCATTCTCTGGAACACTTGGATAGGAGGACTGACAGCTTACAAACCTATTCATGAATAGTAATCACCATTGGCTGTATCATCAGATCTAATATTATTCCATCCAAAAGAAGTGTCCTCTCATTTGGCAATATAGTAGATCAAATTCATTTTCATTATTCTCTGGGTGCCCAGGCCTGCAACCACTGTGTTCAAGAGCAGTCCCATTCACTTCAATGATCTTACCAGTTGTTTATGCCACTTGTGTTTCACTTTAATGTAGTTTCTTCAACTGCTGCCATGGGTGAGCAAAATTGTAATAACTTTATCGAGGCTCGCACAGTCTGTTATCCATCAGCATGAACTTGGCCCAGAAGCAAAGGGTCATCTTAAATTAGAAGAGCAGTAGGGAAGAGTCAGAGTGATGGATTCATTTAACAAGACACAAACAGCAAAGGGGCTAGTCTGAAAAGCAGCGATTTCTTTTAACCCACTTTTATTTTGAAAGCAATTTATATGATAATCAGATTTTGCACAAATTCTTCATGTAAAGAAAAGGAAAGCTATCCTTTCATGTCAACAAAGGAGTATTTCTCTGTCCCACATAAAAAGGGGGATATAACATTTGACCAAAATACATTCTGGTACACAAATCAATGATGGGTTTTTTTAAAACAAGGGATCCAATACCAACTATATGTTTAACTTAAACATAAAGAACAAGGAAATATTTATTCACTTTACTTACAAGTTCATGAGAGAGCAATTCATGACACAATCTGAATTTTAAAATGGAAAGAGGTAACTCCTATCCGTTTCTTAGACTTAACTGATTTACTCCATAACACCTCTTCCTCCAATGACATATCCAACTCCCTTTTAAAATGACGTCTAATAGTCTCTCTTGGTAGTATTGGTAATGGAATTTCTATACATCTCATGGTGATTACGACTATGTACTTAGATTCCTTTGAAGTTCTTTTTAACTTCAGTTTACTGTGGCGAGCACTGTGTAGCTCTTTTGTTGTGTGAGACATTTCCTGAAGCTATGCCTATGTTTAAAACACTACAGTGGCCCAGCTGTAGCCACGCAGCTGTAGTGCGTCCAT